TAAGATTGTTTTATGATTTCCTGGCCAAGAATTTGATCATGTTGCTTCATTATCCACTGTCTGGGCTGGTTAGTTCATTTGATTAAAGCTCTGGGCTCATGAAAACAAGGGTAGGAATTCAGTCATGTATGAGCTAATGTACCTTGACTTCCATTTACATTTTTAAAATCCTGAACAACTTCTTACAAATCTGTGGTTCACCAAGATTAAGCATCAGGTCAGGACGAGGACCAGTGGATTGCCACTATGAGAAATACACCTCTGTCAAGTGGCTTTGGTGACATTTGGCTTGTACACACTGTATGAGCATTTGCTTAATTTGGTGATATGCAACAACCCTCTTAATATTTAGTGTTAATTAGTGGGTTTTGCTTTTCTAGGACTATTACAGTCAGAAATATTTAGGAAGTGATTTGATAATTTCAGTTCTGAATTAACTTTGTTCAAAAAAATTTCCTATGAGTCGTCATTTATTTTTCACATTAAGGCTACTAGGAATTATCTAAAAAAAATATTGATAACTGCCAAGTCAGTTTTGGGATAGAGCATTTTTGCCGTGGATCTTGACCCCACCTAGCAAAAATAGGCAAATGATTGGGTTGATTGGTTGATACCATTCTCTAATCCTGGTTGTACCTTAGGCCTATAAATCTCTTTCCTGAAGGGGCATCCTTTCACAGAAGGGCCCTGAGTTCTTTATGAAAACAGAATCCACATGGCTTCCCTGGCCCAGCAAAGGTTCCACACCCCTTCTGAGTCACACAAGATGTCAACACAATGTTGACTGTAATTCTTACACTTTTAGACTTTTGGTTCCCTAAGGGAGAAAGATACAAGGACCTCTTTGAGTACTTTCATCCCCAAACACATATCTTCTAGTTTTTTAGACTCTCAATCTAGGTAAACCAGAGTACAAAACCAGTGTAAACCAGTACAAAAACTGGTACATTTTTAGTATTGACTGCAATGAACCATTTACCAACCTCACTGTTTTCTCCTCAAGTCCATACCACCTACATCAGGGGACTCAGTAGGATGAAGAAACCACTTTAGTACTTTGATACTGGAGAAGAAATAACTAGCAGAACTATAATTTTTTTTGGTATAAGAAAGAAGTGACATAATTTCATTCTTTTAAACTGTTCAACAGGCTTTGTATTTTATGCCATACTTTCAGGTATTAAAGCCTAAAATGTTTTACTTAACTGAAATAACCTTTAAAAATTCATTATTCCAAGCTCAGTTAAATGGCTTAATCACATTATATTACTCTTTAAAATGAACTATTCTTTGAAATGAATTAGAATCCAGAGTATTTTAGTTAACAAATTTATTATGAAGCCTACCCAGCACAGTAATATAATAGAGATACAAAAATTAAAGTGAGAAGGAATACCAAGGTTTCTGCAATTTCTTCTACTTTTAAAAAGTTGTAATGATTTAAACTATCTGTGCAGTGCAAAGCAATCTCTTGCCTCTGCCCCAGTGGTAGGTAGTTAAAATCTGGAATTTGCCAATGTGCTTTGGCCCTGTTAACTAATGCAGTGCTGTCAGCATCCATACAAATGGTCTACTGTGTTCATATGGTCAACTTCTTCCAAAAATAAAAATCAATGTTATCAGCAATGTCTTGGTAAGATTTAGGGTTTCTAGCAGAGATTTACTAAACAGCCTCTCTGTGCCAGGCAAGGATACAGTGGATACAAGGATACCGTGAGAAATAGACGGTCCCTGTACACAAGGAGCTCCAGTTGTGGGGTGGGGGGTGAAGCATGTAATCGAAGTGCTAAGATGAGCCGGCTGCCATAGTTCGGTGGTTAGTGCTCCAACCCCTGCCTGTGAGTTCGAACCTTACCTGGGCCTGATTTACAAACAAAAATTTAAAGAACAAAGTGCTGTGATGCACCCTGTGAGGGCCAGAGCAGAGCAGTGTGTGGAGAGATGGAAGCCCAGAGGTGGGACACCAATCTGCAGGGAAGCAGGACGAGACAGTTTTCCAAAGTCTGTACCATTGTTTTAGCCACCATATAACATGGGCTCAAAACTGTTTTTGTACCCTGTGGAACGAGCCTTCTACCTTGTAGAAGAAAGATGGATAATCAGTGTTGACCACTAGTTATGCCCATCTATTCTCACACCAAACAGTGCTGGTGCCATCAGCTCTGCAAGCCCTGGCGCTGTTCTTAATGGCAATTTTTTTCTTTAATATTGGGTTCTGAGGCCAAAGAGAGTAGTGTGTGTTCCAGTAGTAACCCTCTAAGCAGTATGCTATGTAGTTATACTATGTTACCTCTTAGTCTTCTTTTTATTTAGAATTATGCTTCCTAACTTTTCAGAATTACTCTTTGTATATATTTTCCTTCCTTTGAAGATGAAAGGAGAACTTCATCCTGGTAATCTACATTAAAAACAATTTTTTTCTCAAAATAGCTTTCAGTAGTACGATGCATCAGACTGAATAAACTCATAGAACACTTGTGGAAAAGAATTTAGATAAGCTATCGATGTCCTGCCTAGTTAATTAGAGTGGAAATACTTCTTTTAGTAGAATAGTATGTTCTTTTTGCTATGCTATGTTTCTGAAAAATGATCTTCAAAGAGCACAAGGATTGTGTTCTAGTCCTTAATGACTTTGGAAGAATAAATTATTTATGTATACAGGCCAAGTATGTTTGTTCAGGCATTGTTTTAAGTATTATTTATTCTTTGATTATTTACTTAGTTTGAGTCCTTCTAGGATTTATTTGTTCTTAAGAGAAGGAAAAGTGTTAATTAAAATCATTTTGGAAATGACCTAAAAGTAATCAGAAATATCTTGAGTAGGTTTAACATACAATGCAGAAGCTCTCAGGAAGTCTTCATAATTAAATAACCGTTCACTTTAGATGTGTAAAGTACAGAGTAAAAAAGGTAACTTCGGAGGCCCTGCTTTGTAAACTCATTTCTGTTATGCATATTATTTAGGCTAAACTTAAAAACGACAAAAAACTTACCTGGTAAAATTCATTATTCAGAGCCTATCCTAGATTCGTAGAATAGCACTTAGGGATAGATATCACTACAGGCACTTAACAAATGACCTCCTCTACAGAGGGCAACCCAGAGAAAATTAGCTACAAAGTGCCCTAGCAAGTCTAAGCTTTGAAGGGCTATTGTTGTTGGTGTGTGGATGTGTGTGTGTGTTGCTGGCAGCTTATCAGCTTCCTGAAGATTTTTCTAGGGAAATTATTTTTTGAAAAGTATTCAATAAAAACATCTAAATTAATTATAAAGAAAACTTGATGGTGAGGGCTATAAAACATGGGCTATGTTTCCAAGAGTGACTGCAGAATCAGGTACCTGGACTTTAAAGGGGGCATATATATCCTGTTAATAACAGTGTTAATAATGGTAATTTAGGGACAATCTTTCAAGAGATAGAATAACTCAGAGCAACCACCCATGAAACTATTTTTCTTAAAGTTATTCACAACACAGTGCAAGGCCTAGGGTTTTAAATTTATTAACAAGCTTGTCTATTTGGTTCTTTTTAAATGACAGCTAGCAAGGTTAAGCACAGCTGAAGTCTGGAAATTATTCTTGAGTTAGGGGTCAGGCCTTGTCTATCTGGTTTGTGAACCCCAAGTTGCTATGTGAACTTCAGCAGAACCATAAATGTTGTCAGATGGAGAAAGTGCTGGGACCCAATTTCTCCGTACACATGTACCATTTACTTTACAACCTCGGAACCTGACAAATAGGGAGCGTTTCATACTGCGTGCTGGGTTGGAAGTGTTTGCCATGCAGGTGGAATCTCACACCGGCCTCAATCACAGCACTCTAAAATACTCAGGGCCTTGTAAAAGGCCATATCTCAAAAAAGTTATGGCTTCAAATAAATGTGCCATTTTATAAAATTATATCTACTGTATCAGAAAAAATGTTCTTTTCATGTGAGTGACATTTATATGACTGCCATTTATAGGGAACAGAACATTCTCACATAGCAGGGCTGAGGAATGGCTGTGAAAGCCAAGAGTATTCTCTGAATAATAAATGTGGTAGAACTTTAAGATGCTCTTGTGGGAAGAGATTCCCTCCAAAGCTAGGTTGTTTTCTTATAAAAATGAAACCTGTATTATCATGAAAAGAGTAATTACTCAATTATAGTTGTAGTATGAAGGAGATTTTCAATGTATTTCAAATCTGTGGGCATCTTTTACGTATGGCTTTTCAGTCTGTAGAGTTGGGCTTTGTGGATCATCTGAACCAGTAGCCCTTAATTTTACATGAAACTGAGCCTTCTAGTTAATAGCACTAGGAATAGAATTTATCATCCCCTATGCCGTGCTCCATCCAAGTCATTTTCCACTACATCAGTCATCTTTTAATTACCATTGTGGAGGGGGTGACTACCTGTCTCTGGACAAACAGGGAATCCAGGCTTTATTTACTTTTCACAATAAGTTATTATATTTTAAGCAATATTTCTCTAGAAAAGCAATCTTTAAACTGCATAAGGAAATCCAAGTCAGGATCAAGAATGGGAGTGGTTGTAGATATCAGGACAAACTTCAGCTCTTGGTTAAGAAGCAGCCTCAGCTCTGAGACTGGACGATGCTAAAGCTTCACATATTCTTCCAGGCTCCTTTCTGACTGGGAGCCACAGGACTGCTCCAGTCCGTAAGTAAGGTACAGGGAGGAATCCAACCCGGTCTTCCTCCGTAGGGCTGCTCTACATCCAGGTAAAGTGATGACCATTACACTCTAGGAAGCTAGAAGCTTGCCGCCGGGTAGCCCGGGCTGACTTTCCCGTGACGGAACACCAGGGAGCAATGACAGAGTTGTGGGCACTGGGGAAGGGTGCCAGTGGAGGGAGTTTGCAGGCTCCCGCTCCTCCGTGCGAGCGACCTGGGGAAAGGGGCTGAAGCAGCAGGAGTTCTACATGGATCGAGGCAGTTAAAGGGACTAATGCAGACCATTGGCGGAAGGTACGGGTTACAGCCAGAAATGTGACCCACCTGCAGGAGAGGCGCTTCCAAGGAGATTAGGGTCCAGCGCAGGCGCAGCGGGTGAGCACCGCGGGCCAGGCAGGAGGAGCGGAGCTTCGCGGCGCCTCCAGCTCAGTGCTGCGACTCGTGGCTCTGCTTGGTATAAGAACCCAGAGAGGGGAGGGAGGACCTGCTAGATTTCGCAAGAAAAGCGGTGAAGAAAGCGTTTCCTGGAAGAGTTCAAGCTGGAAATCCCAGCGGCTGGCAGGACCAGAACTTCCTGTGCTGCTGTTGCTGCAGGTGGTGCTCTGATCCGGGTTCAGCGGGAGATTTTAGGGTTTTCCCTGAAGCCCTTGGGATATGTGCATCCCAGTCTGATTGAAACTCAAGCCTCCCCTTTCCTATAGGAGTTGGAGGAATCTCTCTGAGAGGGCGAGAAACCACCACTTGAGCTAGGCTTCTGGGCATTTCTCTTGTTGCCATTTTTGTCTCAGCTCAGAGTAGAAGGTGACATCTTTCCTCTCTGCTTGGAAGCCAGGGTTCTTATGAGACTGAGCCTGGCTGATTTTGAATTTTCAGGTCTTAATTTAGGTAAATTAAGGAAACAAAACGAAGGAGAGATGATGATTCCTGGTCATATGCATGCAATTGGATTGGTGTGTCTGAAGCCACAGACAGGTGATTTAAGATTTAAATAATCATGACAGCCTAGGGGGGCAAAGCACCCCGGAGTTCCCAAACTCTTCAGGCCTAAAACCCAGGGTATTCCCAATGGTTACCCATCCAGCCATACCTCTTAACTTCCAGGCCATACACTTGCCAAGGTCCAGATGCCCACTCACACAGAGGCCTGTTCCTAGCACTTTTACCTGGATCACAACTCTCCTCATAGCAACTCATGGAGTCTGTTCCGACCCCACATCTTTCAAGAAATCTTCTAAGTCACTAGTTGCAATAAATTTTTTCTCTCTCTGTATAGTACAGTTCATTCTTCTAACAGCAATTAGGACCATTTGCCTCTCAAGAGAGCTATTGTGTATAATACAATATTTTATTGTGTTATGTTGGCCTGCAAGCTCAGAGTTAATGGTCTATCTCCATCTGTTTCAATCTGGATTCTCCACCACACCTAGAACGGTGCTTTGCACAGTCATGTGTGCTTAACAATGGAGATATGTTCTGAGAAATGTATCCAGAGGCACACATAGTTTTGTATAGTCTATTGCCGTAGGATACAAACCTTTATAGCGTATTACCATACTGAATACTGTAGGCAATGTGTGTCTAATCATATTTAAACATGGAAAAGGGGTGAGTATGTATGCAGGGAAGGCGGCTTGCTAGTGTGTCTCTAAGAGGCCTAATGGTTGGTCAACACAGCTTTGGTGAGTGCCCCTAGCTTTAAGCCTGAGGGGCACAGAAACTTGATTCATAGCCAGCCCAATACAGCTAGAATGCTGATTTGTTAGTTGTCAGTGGAATATAAACCAACTAGTTACCATGAAAATATGGTTGCTAAGGGTACAAGACATTCTGGTTATCACATTTTTCTCCCTATAGGCACTTCCCATGGAAGCCGTTTTATATGTAGAAGTATGCTTAATAAACAGGGGATAGGGTTATAAAATTCCAGAGGTTAGTGCACCTGGTTGAGAGCAGCTATGTCCATATGTGCCAGTTAGAAGCAGACAGCTGGGGGTCTATGGATCAGCCCACTCTGGCTTCTGAGTGGTATTTAGATCAATTCTGAGTTGGCATAATGGACAGCCATAAATAATCCCAAGTACTCCTCCAACTGATAACAGAATCATTGCTTTATAGACTTATCATTATGAGGTGGATGAATAATTTTGAAACCATATTTTTATGAGAGGCAAATATATTTCAGTTATGTAAGCTCTTTTCTTTGCTAAAGGCAACCAGAGTCCTAGAAAAGGAAAATTAAATTACTGGGATAGGAAGGATGGAAAAAATTGCCTTTATTAGTACTAAACTTAAGAGGCATTTGACTTATTTATCTGTGGTTTAAAGATTGATTTTCCCCTTGGGCCTAGGAGGGACTCACAATTCATAACTCTTCTAGCCCTTCCACAAACCTTTGCATTAGGGGAAAATTAAACTTCCAAAAGATGCCAGAAACCTGAATACCCTAGAATGTTCTATTGGCAGGATTCATCCCTCTTCCTGTTGTCTTTATACTCAGAGGTCCAGATAAGCCTTTCCAGATGTTATGCACCAGTAGAGTTCCTGTTTAGAGCTTTCCATAATTACTGTGCCACCAAGTCTTCCCTGCTGCTTTCCTTTTCACAAGCCTGCTTGCCTCAAAGTTCTCCACCGGTAGGACTTAGGCAAATGGATGAAGTAGACCTAGAGCCAGAGTTCATTAAATATTATTAGGTAACTAAATAAATGTTGCTTTAACATTTGGTACCTCTCTTGCTATGTCATTTCCCTCCTTTTCCGGACTCCCCTCTGTACCAAGGTCTTGGTCATTTTTCCCTCTTCCCTAAGACTCCCCTTACAGTGTACCACCCGTTATTATGGGGTCAGGTGGAGCTTTCAACAGGTGCTGGACCTAGAGGTGACTGACTTGATATTCAGTAACTATTATGCATATGAAGAATTCTTATTATCTTCAAGATTTATCCCCCATTTTTTAATTGAAGGACTCCTAGGGGGTGCCTCTGCTTAACCCAAAGAAATGAATCTACAATGGTGGAGATTTCAGTGACTCTTGGAGATACTTTTGAGCATGGTTATAATGAATATTTCATCTTTTGCTTACCTAGCATCTAGGACCAGGACTATGGTGAAGTGAGTGAGGAGGCTAGGGTACAAGCTCGGGGGAGGTTCTCCCTCTCTGAACTCACCCTGTGTGAGCCTGAAAGTGAATGTCTTCTTAAATTTTGTCCTTTTGTTGCCTCATTGCATCCATTTCTGGCCCTGTGGCATCCATTTCCTTTTTTGCTAATTATGTCTTTGATAAACACTCTTACACAATCTCGATCCTTATATTCAGATTTAATTGACAGCATTACTAGGGTTCCAGGAGCAGGCGCCTGACCAATAAAAGCACAGAGCCTGTCCACAGTGATTGGTTCAGTATGACATGTGACCTGAACTGAGCCAATAGGAATCTTTCCTGGAACAACCTGGAAAGCTTTAAAATTCTTAAGAGGGTATGAACTGCTCCAGTGTGAACCTGGGTTACCGTTATTAGAAAATGAGCCTGAGAAGGAAATTGCTTCTAGGGAAAGTAAAGCAAAGAGATGGGAAGAGACAGAGTTCTGAAGTAGTTAGAGTTCCAGATCTGAAGAGGGCTCTATGCCCCGGGCTTTTTAGTTACATGAGTCAATAATTGGGTATCTGTTATTTACACAGTCTTAACTAATAAAATGGGACTGGTAGGATGAGCAGGGCACCTGCTCAGTCATGCTTTTGTGATGGTAATGCCTCCTAAGGTGGCTTAATCACAATATGCAATCAGAATGTTCTCTCTCATACGCACACACTTTCTGAGTGTTCTTATAGTAAACTTGGGACTTTGATAAATAATCAATTTCTATGGCTGAAGTTTTCTCACCCTTTTCCTAATATATCTGGAAATTTAATTTCTGATCTCAGCAAACTTCTTTTTCTACTTCTTTCCTACTCTATAAAGAAGACTGGGCAGATAGAAAGAACCCTTTACTCCCTTTCCCCTGTCCTGTGAAACAGCAAATAAAGAAACCAGGCCATTGACTGGTTTTAGCCAATTTCTAGGTTTCCTACCAACACAGACCAGGAAGCAAAAGCAAACAACATTTTGCCACCCACCTGTACCCAAAAATAGTCCTGATGGGAAACTGTGTTAGACACTGACAGTATTGGAGTCTGGGCTAGGAATGATGTCAGGAATGACAATAAAGAATTTAAAAATAAGACATACGCTAAAGAACCTGACTCTAAGTTTGAGAGAAGGTAAAAGTGGAAGAGTTAAGTGTGTGGGGAAAGGAAATCACATTTCAAAACGCCACTGACAAAGTCTCCAACGGAGGGACAGCTACAGCTCCTTTGGGAAATTGAAAATGGGCAAGAATCCCTGTCCTCTTCACCTAGGTTTCTGAATCCTGGGTCACAGAATGTTTGTTAATTATGGAGGCTTCTGGGTCATTGGCAGGGCTGTGGCTGACCACCACTAAAAGAAATCTGGAGGTGTTCCAAGGTACACCTGCTGACCTCAGAGAATGTTAATTACATTATTTTGCACTAATGTGCAAAACAGGTTTTTTTTTTTTTTTTTTTTTTTTTGAGACAGAGCCTCAAGCTGTCCCCCTGGGTAGAGTGCTGTGACATCACAGCTCACAGCAACCTCCAACTCCTGGGCTCAAGTGAGTCTCCTGCCTCTGTCTCCCAAGTAGTTGGGACCACAGGTGCCCGCCACAACGCCCAGCTAATTTTTGGTTGCAGCCATCATTGTTGTTCGGCTGGCCCGGGCTGGATTCGAACCCGCCACCTTGAGTGTATGTGGCTGGCACCTTAGCTGCTTGAGCCACAGGCACTGAGCCCAAAACAGTTTTAAGAGGTGTAGAAATATTCGAATTCACATTTCATAAATGCAGCTGGCATTTACAGAGATGTTCTTTCTGTAATTCAAAATCTGAAGTTATGTCAACCCATTTCTCCCCAGACTCTGAATATACCTGGGGACATATCAAGCCACTGCCAGAAGTATGACTCAACGTTTGAGTGACAATTACTGTTAGTACTGGAATTATCACTGGTAAAGGCAATCCCAGTCCAGCTGATCTGTGCCCAGTGCCAGTAAGGGAAAGTTAGTTGGATTTTCACATGCTAAAGAGAAGATAAATATATTAATAAATTAAAAAAAGAGTAAAGGGAGTCCTGTCCACTTTCAAATAGAATTAGTAGTGAATATAGTATAAAAAAGACTATCACAAGAAAAGCAAAGTTTAAGAATAGTGAAAGTTTAAGCAATTTTTTCCTGCATATTTTTGGCTGTAAAAGTCAATTACTTGCTAAGAATTATTTTCTTTCCTGAGCTTGCCTTAAACATAATGAATGATTTGAAAGGATAATGATGGACTAACAGAAACCTATAAAAGAATTAATTAAAAGATTTGAAGAATTAATG